CAGCGGGGATGAAGGGACTGCCAGCCCCTTTTCTCCACCCAGGAGTCTCCCTCTTGACTCCAGTTTTCAGCTGATCTTAGCAGCTCCTGCTGCTGTTTCCATTTTCGTGGGTGAAGGGCCTGGCACTCTCGCGTGGAGAACTGTGCTGTGGGCAGCAGCGCGGAGCCCCTCCCTCGGTGAGGCTCAGCGCATGCGTGGCCCCTCGGCATGGTTGGGGAGGAGGATAGAGCAGCGATCCCACGCAATATTCAGCTTCTCTTGCCGCTTGCTTCTTCTGCTCTGTAGACTTCTGTCCTTGCTCAGCTGTGACTTCTGGTTTCCTTTTCACACTGCTTGACTTCGCCGGGCTTCTGCTGTAAGAGTTGAGGAGAAGGGTGTGGTAGAGCTCAGCCCTACCTCTCCAGGTGACTACGACGCCATGAATAATATCTATGAAGGCTTGAAGATTCTGAGAGCGCAGGAGGAGCCAGGGAAAGCACAAATAACTTTAAAAAGGCAGATGATCTGGATTAATTTCCGCTGACACATGTGGTCCCAGCTGGGGCATGTGCTCCATCTTTATGCCTGGTCTGTATTCCTCCTGCCTGAACTTTCCTGCCCGCTGCTGCCAGAGGTCCTCTTAGGGCACTCATGGATCCGTGATATACTGTTTCTGTCTTATACTATCACACCTTTTCCTTGATCTTTAGGGTCATTGGATCTCTGTGTGATGCTGGGCATCGGTCCCCAACGTTTTATGCACCAGGGAGCAGTTTCATGGGAGGCAATTTTTCTATGAACTGGGTGGGTAGGGAGATGGTTCCAGGATGATTCAAGTACATTGCATTTATTGTGCACTTTATTTCTGTTATTATTCCATCATAATATATAATGAAATAATCATAGAACTCACCAGAATGCAGAATCAGTGGGAATTCTTGAGCTTGTTTTCCTGCAGCTAGGTGGTCCCAGCACCAGCATCATCACCTTAGCTCCACCTCAGATCTTCAGGCATTAGATTCTTATAAGGAGCACAACCTAGATTCCTCACAGGCATGGTTTAGAGTAGGGTTGGTGCGCCTCTGAGAACCTAATGCCGCCGCTGAGCTGACAGGGGGCAGAGCTCAGGCGGTGATGCAAGTGATTGGGGAGTAGCTGTCAATACAGATGAAGCTTTACTCCGGTGCCTGCTGCTCGTCTCCTACTGTGTGGCCCAGTTCCTAACGGGCCAGGGACCTGGTACTGGTCTGCAGCCTAAGCCTTAGGGACCACAGATGGGCATGTTAGTAAAACGTTTTGCACCTTGGGTTTCTTTATCTGTAAAATGGAGACAGTGACTTGTATACTGTCCAAGATATGTAGCATGTCCCCTAAGGCCCAGGAAAGCACATGAGTTTAATACAGAAGGGAAACGAATCAGCCCTCAGACCACACTGCTGTGCCCCTCAGGAGGGAGAAGCTGAGAGAGACAAGGAAGAAAAAAGAAGAAAAGAAGGACTCTCAGTAAACTCCTTACACTGTGTCAGTGAGGCCGAAGCAAGCTTTTATGAGAACCACATTTGAGCCCTGGAATAAAAAATAAGAGCAACATACTTTAAAAATTATTTATGATTTTAAGCACATGAAAGGCATATCATGTACCCAGGGAGGGCATAATGGGGAACAGCTGGCTAACATGTGTCCCGCCATTTCTGGGGATGTTCATAATTCTCTGATGTCCAAGAATAACAGTAATAATGATGCCACTGCTGATGGTTTTACTAATAATAAAGATGATCAGGTGCACCAGGAGTGCCTGGGCTCTGGGTTTGGAGGGGGCTGCGAGGGCCCTCCAGCCTGCTTCCTTCTTAGGCCCAGTGCATGGGGACCTGCCAAGGATCAAAGGACGCTAGATCGAAGGAAAGGGCCCTGCATGGGGAAGCAGGAAACCTGGGTTCCAGGCATGATTTTAACACTGGCTCTGGCAAGTCCCTGCCCCTCTGAATCTTAGTTTTCTCATCTATAAAACAGAGATGCTAATCCTACCTGGCAGGCACACCTTGCAGAGTTCTCATGGAGCCCGGATGAAATGATGCCCGAGGAAGTACTGGGTGTGCCGCAAAGCATTCTGCACATGGAAAGCGTCATTATCATGCGTGCACTTTTCCAGCACTTGCCACAGTCAGCCACTAAGCTCAGGACCTGACACATAGGAGGTGCCCAGAAATATCTGTGCCATGAACGAATGTTTCTTTTTCATTAAATCTTAAAGCCATAGAATGTTAGACTTGGACAATACTTTAAAAGCCATTTAGTCCAGTGCTTGCTTTTATGATTTGTTAAGTGGGTCTGGA